AAGGTGACCCTCCAATAATTGGATTCCATACATGGGACACTATAACAGATGTATAAATGTTCCATATATATAATGTCATTGTGGGGTTGTCTTGGATTTAGGTAAATACAGTACATTTCCACATTATGGTTTGCACATTTCTTGCATCCAGAGGCCCAAGTTCAGTAGCGCAAGATCAATATTGCTAGTTAGGAGGAGGTTTATGCCTGCAACTCTTACTACATTTCAGTACTGTTGTACTAGTTTCCAGGCTTTGAAAATTTAGTGACCGTGAAGCATGTATGCTGGTCATAATTAGTTAGTGATTATGGGCTATATAGGCTAGTCTACAGTAGTGCCAGCCTTGGTGGCTTAGGACAAAGCTGTAAGCTTGGCTAAAGTGAAGGGCCCCAAAACTGTTTGTGAATGATTGCAAAGTGAACTTTTGCTGGAACTGACATATCCAGTAAAATATGGGAAGTAATAAAAGGCCTTGAAATAATCTAAGCACAGCATATTGTAGTTTTAGCCTGAGTAGAGATTGCTACAACTGGATAACATTTTTATTTTAATAGGTATACCTTTTTAAAATGTCTTGGATCTAAATTGTAAAAGCAAATAGCAACCTTACTTGTAAACACCATAATAAGAGGAGGCAAAGAGTATGATGATTAACAGTGTTCCAAGAAAGACCAGAAATCCTGCCATCCAAAAATGTTAATCTTTAGAGTCCATTTCCAGGGTTCCAGTAATGCAAAGAGATTTTGAAATAACCAGTCAGAGAATGATGTTGGAGGTATCTAGTATAAATACGGGGTATGAACTAGGAGAGGTATTTGGAGAACTCAGCACTTCCGTGAAAGTCTGCATGTCATCTCCCTTCCGTGTCTCCCCAGGCATTACAAGGCTTATATGTTGTGCTTTCTCAGCTAGCCAAGTGGACGTTGGGATTAGTGTATATCTTGTGGTTTCAGTGTAACCAACAAAAGGTCAGGCTGTAGACATTTCTCTTACTGCTTTTATCCATAGCCACCCTACAAATATGTTAGTAATCAGGTAAAAAAATGTACTGCATACTCTGATTTGGAAAAATCTATCACTTTATGATGTATGATTTACAGTCAAAATGATAAAGTTGCTACTGTAAAAATTGTATCATTCATTGTCTCTATATGTATGTGAAACCCATTTGCTGACAGGGCAGTAAGCACATCTCTTAGAGCACTGTGAAGAATAATTAACGTTAATGATTGCACTCAACCAGATGAGGTATGCTGAAGCAGTAGGGAGGAGTTGCTTTCTTTCATCAGCTAGTCTGGGGAGGACTGCTGAAATGGAGAATGAAAAGTACCAATAACAAGCAAAAACTAGCTGTCAGTAGAGAGACTTGATACAAGTGGATGAAGTGTTGTATATAGAAGAAGGGAAAGGTGGGGAAGACTTGTAACACCAGTTGGGGAGTGATTTATTTGAGCCTGGAGAAGCCACTGTGAGCTAGAAAGTTTGGCAGATGGGCCATGAGATGCAGGAGAAGCTGGAATGTGCTACTCAGTTGTAGCAGCTAAAGCAGGGGTGGGCAAAATGCGGCCCGGGGGCCGGATGCGGCCTTCCAAGCCTTTCTATCCAGCCTGCGGGGCTCCCCCAAAATTAAGAAAATGAATATTTATCTGCCCCTGGCTGCCTGTCATGCAACCCTCAATGGCTTGCCAAAACTCAGTAAGCAGCACTCCTCCTGAAATAATTGCCTGCCCCTAAGCTAAAGGCACTCAGCAGTTGGATTACCTTGCAGCAATCTCATGAGTGACCAACAGAGGGAACCCAGCTACACTGGAAACACAAAACATGGTAGTATGCTCTAATAAATGCATGGATCTAAACTGAAATAAATACAGCTGCCACAAATGATGCATGGTTCCTCAGTAGAAGAGGAAAAGAATAGGGAAATAGGAAGTGAAGAGGAAATTTGTGTTTGGTGTTACTCTGGCAAAACATGTTCAAAACACCATGCCAATGTTTGTATGTTTTAACTTCTTAAGTTAGATCCATTTATTTCCTGTTTCATGGCAAAGGAATAGAGAATATGACTTAGAGAACATGACACATTATTTCTGGGTCAGCCTCAAAATGTTTATCATAGTAAAAATGTCATAACCAAAGTCCAAATCCAACTAACTCTTTTTTGCCAGCTTGTGATGAGAGCGGTGCACTAATATTTCACACAAACGTATTCAGAGTAACTATGCCTTTAGCTTTACAGGTGTTTACTGAACCGTTAAGGGCAGGTCTACACTGCTTCTGTGGTACTCCTGAGAGTACCTCTGAGAAGCTTGTACTGCATACCTGTACAACTTATAGGAAACACATTTTTAATTGTTTGACAGCCCCAATATAAATATTAAGTTTAGGTATATTTAAGGCTTTTCTGGACTGAGATGCAATGCTCCTGAGCACACCACAAAGGGCACAACTGTTCACCCCTGCCACACCTCAACATGAGGCAACAAACTACATTAAAGTCATCCTCCCTGCCTCACCCAAACAAGCCAGAGAGCTCAAGAGCAGCAACAGGGATGCCTTCTGCACAACTCTACTGCCTCATTTCCAGATTTGAAAGCTGAGTGTGGAGGGGCCGGGGGCCGCAGCAGGGCCTATGTGACACTGACCACGGGGCCTGGGGCAGTTGTGCCATTCGCATCCCTCCCCAGGGACGGCCCTGAACGTGGACATACACACATACAGACAGGAACTGCCCAGCTGATAAGTGTGGAGGGGAGGGTGGGAGCAGATTGAGACCCCCATGGTAAGAGAGGGAGTGGGGCAGGGGTTGGGGTGAATGGGATGCTGGGGCTAGGGCAGATTGTGGGACAGCTGGGGGTGGCTTGTCAAGGGGTGTAGGGGTGTGTGGCTCCCCAGTGCTGAGCACACCCTGGGGGAGGCTTGGAGGTGTCCCCCAGATTTGTGCATGGGATGGAGGTGGGCTGTCCTCTGCAGGTTAGAGCTCTGCGCCTCACTGCCTTTGCCCCAGGAGCCGCACACTAGCTGAGCATCCCCTGCCTGTGCGGTGGTGGGAGGCACAACACGGAGTTGCGTGGCTCCCAGGGCAAATGCAGCAGGGCACAGAGCCTCAGCCCACTTCCACCCCATGTACAAATCTGGGGGGCACACGCTGCCCATGCCTCCACCAGGAGTGCGTGCGGTAGCAGGGAGCTGTCCCCACCCCCACACTTCTGGACAACCCGCCCTGGCCTCGGGGCTCCATTCACTCCAGGCCCTGCCCCTGTCCCACTCCCTTCCTCACTGTGGGGGCCTCAATCTGCCCCCCTCCCTTCCCTCTCCCTGTGCCCTCCCTGCCTCAGACTTACCGGCGTGGTGCTGCTCTACATGCAGCATTCAGGCTGCAGCTGCTTGTGTGTCCATGTCTGTGTGCACCCCCACAGCTGCAGCCTCCTGGAGCCTGTGCCTGGGCTGCCCTACAGTCCTCTTCACTGCAGGCCCCAAAACCACATGTGCAATTAATGAGTTCAAAATGCAAAAACCCATTAACAGTTTAATTGCACACATTAACTGCGATTAATTAATTGACAGCCTTGGTATATATAACTTAGTAGTATAGCATCCTTCTGGAGCAAAACCATTTGTATAGGTGACCTTGGACCACTGCCAGGAGATACTGTCTTCCTAAGTACAAAATAAATGTATATTTTGTTTGGCTGCAGTAATTTCACCGTACATAGCTGTGGTCATTTTTTTAGGGTGTAACAAGACTAAGAGAGCAATAGATGCATATTATACATAAAGAAGGATTTCACACGATGTTTGAGAGAACACATCCTTTGCCTTAGAGAAGAAATGGAAGTCATATAAACTCTGGTTCTATGCTGTTGCTTTCTTTGGTAGTTGGTACTCAGGACATTGTTAAAATTGTAGTAAACTACATGAGATTTTTAATAGAATAAAGAATAGTACTGTTCACAGGATGCACATTAGTATACCTTTACTTTACCAGTGATCTTTATTTTTTTCAGCCTTAGTCCCCAAATCATACTCTTTTGCTCTTGCTCCTCCTTTTTCTCAAGCCACATTCATTCCCCTCCTTGTGACTTCAAATAGTTTAAAAATATCTTGGCTGTTTCAGCCAAGAAACCCAAAATGTTATAATGCACAATCATGTGCAGTTTTTCTTTTGAAGTTCATTGTATAGCAAGATAGTGTTTTAAAAAATATAAATAATTTTATATGCATTTACATGCCCTTATTTCAACTTATGTATTGAGCATTTCTCAAGAACATGCATTTTCAGTAAGTATGTTTGTTGCAACAATGTGTGTTTGATAACCCTTACAGTTGCAAAGAACCTAAAACCAATTCTTTTTTTAAAGAAAGTATTTTCCCTGCCCTCAGTAAAACAAGCTACTTGGAATCATCTTTGGCTCATATTAACCAAATTGAGAACAGTTGCTTTGGGAGGATATAATTTGAGTCAGTAGTACAGATTCTTTTTTAAAGGTTGCCTTTTTTATATATTCCTGTTTAAAGCAAGTGCGAGATTGATGTAATGATTAGTAAAGTAGTGAATATCAAAATGTGTGAATGCCTAAATTTGAGTAATTATGTAGTTTTGTTCTTGTAGAGTTTGTTTGGATTGCTATTCTTGCGGTGTTATTTTTTCTTTTGCAGCATCGTGCACTAGTATATGAGAAGCTGAAAGCTAATATGACTATGTACACTGTTTAATCCAAGTGAAGCACACACAAAAAAGAAAGAAGTAGCAGAAGCTAAATTGGAGATAAGACTTCCAGTTTTAATGACCTCCAATACTATCACTAATACATAACTTAAACTTTAAACTCAGTTTAATCTAAACTAAAAGAGAGCCCCTTGAAGTTTGTAACATTTTTCTCCCTTTTTTCAGTATTTCTGTTGGAAATCCAAGTACTAGTCACTATTTGACTCAGTCTACTTTTAAAATGCAATCTCTATACAACCAGCATTCTCAGTATCCATTTCTCTTATAAAATTTGGCTCTTGCAACAACGTCATTGGCATAGTCATTCTTAGTTGTGCCAATGTCCATTCTCTCATAGCTCTGAATGTTCTTAGGCCCTGCATTATAGGCAGAAATCCCACCTGAAATTAAAACAAAACAAATACTTATGAGAAACTTTTTCTTTTGTAAGAAAACAAGAACAATTTTACCTCTGAAGTTTCCTCCTTTAGTGTGCAACTCTTTTGAGGATATCTAATATTACATACAGAACTTATTTTTATTAAGTGCCATTATCTGTGAAGAAAGCTATATATAAAATATGCTCTTCACCATTTTTTACTGAAAAACAGTAAATATGATTTGGGTTTATTTATATGCAGATTTGACATGAACTAAGGCAGGTGCACTCAACTACTGGCTCATGGACCAGATCCAGCTGCTGGTGCTGGGTCATCCAGCTCGTGGGGCTCCCTGCATCGAACCCCCATGAGCTGTGGTTGTACGTACTAGATCAGGAGCACAGGGTGATGTGGGGCCCCAATTGCAGCACACGGGGCCAGGCGGAGGTGGTATGGAGCCCCAGTCCTGGCTTGAAGGGCCAGACAGAGGCAGCACAGGGCCCAATCCAGCCTGTGGACCACCCCTGCTCTACTCATGTGGCCTGTGGAGCTAAGACAAACGCTACCAAACTAAGGAATGGGATTTTGTTGCATGAAGTATTTTGAAGCCAATAGTTTTGTACCTTTTAGCTGTTGTTCTCTTGTCCATTGTGGGAATTTCTTCTGGATGTCTTTTATCATCCCACACAAAATCTCTGTACCTTGCGTAATATGCTCTTCACTGTCCCACGTACCAACAATTTCATGGTGTCGTTTATCAACCTAGAAGAGTCAAGCAAGAATATCCTGGCACCAAAAGGATTTTTTTTCAAGGGTTCTTTATGGATTTTAAGGGTGTACGGGCTGTGTTCATTTTTACTCTTTTCTGTGGGCCATGTTTTCACTTCTTTTTCCTGTAGTCACAGAATTGGCTGATGTGTGGAGAGATAAGGGCGAATCTGGAGCACTGGCATGTTGTGTAAAAGATTGTCAGAATGTGGGCAGGGCCTGTTTGGGAATCCTGCTGATGGGGGTAAAATGATGCCAATGGAGTAGGATGTGAATACAGAAATGAGCTCTGGTTTTCCCTGCCTTTTTGCCAGTGGCATTTTGCAGCGCATGGGAAAGAACTTGTCTAAACACACTTTTAATGTAGCTGCAGCCTGAGCCTCTGAGCTTAGTGAACCGTTTCTGGTAAGGTACTGTACTCTGAAGCAGGAACAATCAATCAGATCCTTTCCTTTCTAGGCAAATCAATGAGTTCTGGGAAGGAGATAGTAGCTGTAATGCAGTGCATTATCTCCAGGCTCTTGCCTACAACCTGGATTCCCCACTGCTATACTGGGGATTGAGAATAACATCAGCTTTACACGTGCCAGGGGGCACTCCATAGACTGGTTGTCCTTGTGGGGCATTAGTCCCTTTAGCCAGTCAAAGCAACATGAACTGTCGTATGGTAAAAGAAAATCTAGCCTAATTTATTTCACTTAAACTCAAACCCTACAACTCGAAAATGTGGAACGTGGCACTATTAACTCACTTTATGCTGTACTTCATCTTCTCCAACACTTTGTCTCTAGGCTGTACTGCAAGCAAGTATCAACTTCTGTGTCTGGAAAGTGACTAACCCATTCAGGGTGCCAATTACAATAGCCAGGTCACTATTTATAGTTCTTATGGGGAGGAATTAGCCAGACATGCTGCTTTGGCACATGTTAATACAAAAGGCTAAATCTTTGCTCAAGTTTTTGGCAGCAGGGTGGAGATGACCCCCAAAGCAAAATCCTCATAATTTTTTATGGTTCTTTCTGACACAAAAGAGATGGCTGCAATTTTTGAGTTTGCTAATAAATACCTGCATTAAACCAAATCCGTTTCCTCTGTCACCCCAGCCGTCCTTCAGGACTATTCCACCATGAGACTCTCGGGAGATGATAGCAGCAATCAGAGCTGGATCTACACCCAGTTTTTTACCAACGTTCTTAATCTTGGTTTCATATTTTTGCAGATTCTTTAAATCTCTTTCAGCAATCTTTTCTGAAGCAGTCACTCCTGTAGCAAATGTAAATGCCCTTTTTTTTGTTTCAAAGCAGTTGGGAGGTATTCCTCCAAAAGACAATATGGCTACATTTAACGTTTAAAAACCCTTATAATCTATATAGAGTTAGTAATTAGTAATCAGCATCCATCCATGGCTGAAAAAAGTGCCTAAATCTAGGCATAACAATAAATTAATTCTAGAATATAGGGAATTTCAAATGGAGATGGCAGTGTTTTGGCAGGGGTGGCCAACCTGTGGCATAAGTACCACAAATGGCATGCAGCAGATCAGGGAGAGGACAAGCAGCACAGCAGCAGATAGGATAGGAGGAAGAAAGCAGGGAAGGAGATTCGGGCAGGGAACACAGTAGGGAGCAAAAAAACAGAATGGCAGAGCAGGCAGAGGAAGGGTATTGGAGTGGCATGCAAGGAGCGTTCAAGGCTAATTTGTGGCTTGGCTGCCAGAAAGGTTACCATCCCCCATTCTATATAACATGGTGATCTTAGAGATAAGCAGGAATTGTCTTCACTCCAAACCTTTATGCTACAAAAGGTTTAATTCTCTTTGGTGTAGACATATTTGGGAGGCAATGCATAGAAATAATAGCTCAGAATACAGGGGACTCTCTCAAAGAACAAGAGAAAAGACTGCTGCACTTGAAATTTGGTCCCTAAGACTGGGTATTTCTCAGATTGTTCTGAAGATTCCCCAGAACACCTCAAGAGCACCTTTTTGTAAATACAATAGAAATGAATTGTACGAGTCAAGTTTGATTTGTTGAAGGGAAAAGAAACATCTCTCAGGAATAATTAAAAGATAAACATATTTATTTATAATATGCATTTGCCAGTGCTCTAAAGCTGAATAATGCCTACCTCCATAGCTTAGACCTTCTTGTTTTCCAGTTTCAATGGAAGCCCCAGTTGTATCGACATCCATTAATTTACCGTAGTGTTCAGAAAGGTCTAAGTGGAAGCATGGATTAGAATCAATAGATTATGCATATCATGAATATATTCTCAGTTACATCTGTGGCTCACACTTATCATTGATGGGAAACTTGTAATTAGGCAATATTTATGTGCTTATCCATGCTAGAAGGTGCCGTACCTATCAGCATATTCAATGTACGGCATTATAATGTAATTTATTTGTAATTTACCCAACTATACCTATGGACTGAGCAAACCATTTCAGAATATAATTAAAATACACATATGCACAAACACAATTCTCCATGAACAATGCTAAATTTAACTCAGTAAATTAATGGGAGACTGATCACTTGCTCCAGTGCTACAAAATTGTTAGACAAATATGAAATACCTGACATGGTTGCTTGATGATCTGCGCTTTACTGCTCCTGGGTCTCCTAAAGAAACAAACATGCAGTTTTAGTTTCAATATGAGTATTCTGCCCAAACAAATCAGTTCACTTCCCCAAACACTGTATATTTTTAACATTAAACAACAATACACTTTACTACTTGCTGTTCAGCTCATCCAGAGAAATAAAATGAGATTTGTGCTCTAAATCTAAGATTGTTATTTATCTACTTTTGGTTGAGTACTTTTCTGCAATCTTAACAGTTCAGAATTAGGAGGAGCTTGACACAGGCTACCTACTCTCTTCAGGGGTTGGAAGTTACAGTGAGGAAACAGGAAGTTGAATTTATGCAGAACGGATTTTGCCGAGTAAGCCATGTGAAACAATATCATTGTAAACAATTGCAACCACTCAGCACTTGGATGTGCAGAGAAATTTAACACCCCCCCCCCAGCTACACTCCTGCTATTAGTAGAAACAATGAAGATTAATACACAAATCCAGACTAGGATACAGGGTGTCAAAAACTCTGTAACTCTTTGGTAACAAATAAAAAGTTAATTGCATGGTTGGACTAACCTATCTTTTTTAGTACTTTACTTATTTGCAGGGATTGTGGTTTTCTCCAATTAAAAAAAAAATCCCCAATTTTTGGATTAAAAAAGTAACCCCAAAACCACATTTTTTATGTGATTAAAATAAAACACCACTACATATATATATTTATATAGAGTAAACCAATAAAAAAGTAACCCAAAATCACATTTTTCTGTGATTAAAATGAAGCACCACTATATCTATCTATCTATCTATCTATCTATCTATCTAGCGTGAACCAATTAAAAAAGTAACCCAAAATCACATTTTCCCGTGATTAAAATGAAACACCAAGTGGTGTTTCATTTTAATCATGGAAAAATGTGGATTTTGGGTTACTTTTTAATCTGAAAATTGGGGATTTTTTTTTTAACAGAGAAAACCAGGATCCCTGAAGATAAGGAAGCAGGAATAGGAATCAGGAATGTGGGCCATCAGTAGTCATCTTCTGTCATATCTTAACATTAGAAATCCCATGTTTCCTTTATGAGCCACATCCATTCTATTTTTCTGCTCCTTGGAGCTGCATAAAGGATGACAAATGTGACCTTTAGACATGTTTCCCTGTGGGTTTTTTTTTAAACTTATTTGCAGTCTTGGTTGTGGATTCCAGTGTACATAGGTTCCTATAGGTTTTGGTTGCTGGTGCTGGTGTGGATATATTTATACAATGTGATCTTTGATTTTTATGCATGGTCTCCATATTATTTAAAATCTGAAATTTGGTCTGGGTAAGTAAATGTATTTCACCATCACCAAACTTGGATGTCATGGAAAACAAAGTCTAAAATATTACAAATAAGCAGGGATTCATAGATTCATAGATTCATAGATGTTAGGGTCGGAAGGGACCTCAATAGATCATCGAGTCCGACTGGCCACTCTAACTGTGAAGAAGTTCTTCCTAATGTCCAATCTAAATCTGCTCTCTGCTAGCTTGTGGCCATTATTTCTTGTAACCCCTGGGGGCGCCTTGGTGAATAAATCCTCACCAATTCCCTTCTGTGCCCCCGTGATGAACTTATAGGCAGCCACAAGGTCGCCTCTCAACCTTCTCTTGCGGAGGCTGAAAAGGTCCAGGTGCCCTAGTCTCTCCTCGTAGGGCTTGGTCTGCAGGCCCTTAACCATACGAGTGGCCCTTCTCTGGACCCTCTCCAGGTTATCCGCATCCCTCTTGAAGTGCGG